GGCACGGGTGCAGTGGACCGCAGTGCAAAGTGCTGCGCCTTCCCAGCATCCTGGCGGGCAAGGGCGGGTGACAGGGGCTGCCAGACCCAACTCTCCAGCCCCGGCGCCTGTCTGGTAAACTGCAGCTTCACATATCATTTCTACCATTTCTTCCAAACCTCCTCTTTATATATGACTATAGAATCTAAAGGGTTTTCAAGGAAATTGTTACTCTTCGAAAATGTTACTAAATATTTCAGAATATTTGCCTTTCTGCTTTTTTTGGTTTCAAACAATAAAGCATTTACAGGGAGAAAACATTTTGAAGGGTATTTGATCTGCTTTTTTATCATGTGCTATTCTAGTCCTCTGTTTGGAACATAAAAATCATTTCCACAGCAACTAATTATAGTATAAGTCACAAATGCTGGATTACTATTGCTGGTAGGGAATTAGAAGCAAAGCTTCTTATTTTTGAAGTTCTTCCAAAAACGAATACAACCTAATAAAATGTAGGAAGGACATTACACAATATCCAATGTAGACAGGAACCTTTCAAATCAGCTTTTATGTGTGACCAGCTTGACATGAATCTGACGGGAATTATTTTCTCTCATACATTAAAACTTTATAAAAAAAATCAGCTGAGCATATTTGTGTGGGTCTATTTCTGGTTTCTCTTTTCTGTTCCATTGATCCACGTGTCTGTCCTTCTGCCAACATCACAGTCTCTTGATTGTTGTATATTAAATCTTAGTCTAAGGTAGTGATTCCAACCTGTTTATTATTCATCAAGGTTGTTTTAGCTCTTCTGGTGCCTTTTCATCCACATTTTAGAATAAGCTTCTCTATTATATAAACACCATATCTCAGTTTTAATATGGATAGCATTATAAACCTTTGAATCAAGTTAGGGAAAATTGACATGTTTGTATATTGAGTCTTTAATACCATGAATATAGTATGTTTCTTGATTTATTATATGTCTGATTCATCAGCATTTTGTAATTTTAGGCATCAAATCCTGTACATATTTTGTTAGTTGAACATTTCAGTACAAATAACTCCTCAACTTACAACTGCATTATATGCTGGTAAACCTATTGTAAATGGGAAATGTCATTAAAAAAGAAATAAATGCCATGAAGATTGGAAAAGAAGAAACATTCTACAGCCCATAGTACATATTCCACAGTGTACTGTGTTGCACAGCTGGGATGTTGAGTAGACAAGGTGTGCTAAGTACAGCAGGTTAGATGTATAAAGTGCAGAATGCTTACCTATTGAAGGTTTAGCCATTTAATACACCTAACGTACTGAACACCAGCTCAGCAACACAGCGCACTGCAAATGTCGGTTCTTCCCCCGTGATGACAGGGCTGACCAGGAGCTGCAGTTCACTGCTGCTGACCATGTGGAGAGAGAGGACCACACCACATACCAGTACCCTGAGAAGAGTCTAAAACTCAAAATTTGAAGTGGGGTTTCTACTGTAAGCACATGGTTTTTACACCATGGTAAAGTTAAAAAAAAAATAAATTGAAACTTTGCAAACTAGGGACCATTAGGCCAGGGATTTAGCTCAGTGGTGCTGCCGCCTGCCCAGCAAGCGCAAGGACCCGAGTTCAATCCCCGTACCAAACAAACAAACAAACTAACCAGGGACCATCATATTTCATCCTCTTTGGAGTGATTAAAATGGTATTATGTTTTAAATTTCACTTTCTGCATGTTCACTGTCAGTTTATAGAGATGTGATCAATTTTTGTGTGTTGATCTTGGGTCTTGTTGGACTCATTTATTACTTCTAGAATTTTTTAAAATTCCATATATTCTTTGGGATTTTCTACATAGACAATCGTCTCATCTATGAATACAGTTTTACTTCTTCCTTTCCAATTTATATGCAATTTATTTATTTTCCTTATCTTTTGTAGTGGTTGCAACTTTAATACTCAATATTTTTTTTTTTTTTGGTACCAGGGATAGAACTCGGGTCCTTGAGCTTGCGCAGCAGGTGGTGAAACCACTGAGCTAAATCCCCAGACCTTTAATGCTCAATATTAATAAGGTGTTCCTGGTCCCAGGAGAAAAGCATTCTGCTTTTCATCATTAATTCTGCAGTTGGCTTTTTTTAACACAGATGTTCATCAAATTGAGGTTGTTCCCAACTATTTCTAACTTGCTGAGAATTATTATTATTATTATTTTGGTACTAGGGATCGAACTCAGATCCTTGCGCTTGTACAACAGGTGGCAAAACCACTGAGCTAAATCCCTGGCTGAGAATTATTTTTATCATGAATTGGTGTTGAATTTGTCAAAGGCTTTGTCTGCATCAATTAATATGTTCCTATTTTTCTGTTCTTCAGCTTAATATGGAATACACTGATTTGCTCACATGTGATACATAATTCTTTTTTATATATTATTGGGTTTGGTTTACTAATACTGTGCAGCAGATTTTTGCACTTAAATTCATGAGTGACATTGGTCTGTAGTTTTGTCTGTTTTGCTTTTTGACTTTCTTTGTCTGGTTTTGGCATCAGTGTTCATGCTGAATGAATTCATAGAAGGAAGTGCTAAGTGAGCCACTTCTGGTTTTGAGAAGAGGTTCTATAAAACAGATGTCAATTCTTGTTTAGAAGTTTAGTAAAATTCTCCAGTGAACCCATCTGGGCCTCAGACACTTTCAAGTTGCTAAGTGAATTTCTTTAATAGTTCAGTAATATTCAGATTAATTTCATTTTAGCTAGGTTTTGACAGTTTGTGGTTGTCAAGAAATTGGTTTCTTGGAAATGAAGTTGCTCCTAGTGTTCCTTTATTGTCCTTTGAAACAGAAGCCACAGGACAGTGGGAGGAGGACATGAGAGGACAGCAGGAGAGTAGAGGGTGTTCAGGAGTCTCACCCAGGGGAAGTCCTCTTTCAAGACTGAGAGAATGGTGGACAACTGTGCGACAATCAGAAGTGACTGGAGTAGCTGATGAGACTAAGTACTGAGGACATTCTGGACCCCTCCTGAGTTGGATGACTTGCTTCTTGACTGCTCCACTTCATGACTTTCTCCAGCATGTGGGCTGTGAGATGGGAAAGTGTAGTGGGGATCATGCAGGGATAGAGATCTGCAAGCAGAGGGAAGGCAAAGGATACTGGGTCCCAAGGGCGTGGCTGTTGGGGCTGAGCAGGGCACAAGAGGGTCCACAAGGGACTTCAGTGCCCACTGCTCCATCTCCCTGATCCTGACTGAGTGGCCAGAATGTGCTGGGATAACACATCTGCCCCTTGAAGCTCAGCATGGTGAAGGTGAAGGACAGACAGCATCACTGCACACCACGGTACATGACAGGGTGGGACAGGGAGGGCTGGGTGGCTGAGAATGTGAGTGAAGCCAGTGAGGACCACGTGTGCATCTGAGGGTGCTCAGAAGTGGGGAGTGCGTGCTTGACAGGGGACCCTGGCCAGGGTGGAGACCACTGGTGTCAAAGGACAGCACTGCAGAAGGGCAGGGCCAAGCCTGAAGAGGAAAGTGGAGGATGGGGACAGAGGAGAGGCGGCCCCTGCGGATGGCAGGTGGCAGCACTCTGGGTTGGTGTTTTAGAGCTGGACCTGGCTCCTCATAGTGCCGTGTAGCACAGCATCACCTCATTGTAAGTGTCTGGCACTCCGTCTTCTGACAGGCGAGCACCCATCATTCTCTGTTCCTGCCACTTTCCCTGTTGTCACCATCAAACACAATTTCCACAACTATCCACTCTTAAGTCCAGCTTAGAGCATAAGTAAAGTTCTCACTCCTGTTATTTTACAATATTTTAAATAGTTCCTGAATTTTACTATTCAAATGAGTCTTGTGATGGTGGTTTTTTGGTGAGCACAGGGAAGGCTGAACTCTGCTGTATCCACTAGTGTATTTGACAAATCCTTTGTGAGCCCCAGGCTTGGTGGGCACTGCAGGGCACAGATGGGGACCAGACAGGGGCAGCAGCACTGGGGAAGGTCAGGACTGGGTCAGGGAGGGCCCCTGAGGTCATGTCCGCAGGCAGGTGTGGATGAGATCAGGGAAAGAGCTTCCTGAGTCCAAGGTTCAGGAGCAAGCTGAGTGAGGTGGGCAGCTGGGGTGCTGGAGATCAGCCACGGAGGACCAGAGAATGGGCAGCAACAAGGCTAGGAGCAGCCAGCGCCTGCTCTGGCCATAGGGGTGCAGCCTTGGTCTCACAGAGCTCATGAGCCTTCAGGAAAGCAGTGACAATGACAGACACAAGTGTGTGAGGAGCAAGTGCTGGGCTCTGTGTGGGGCAAGAGACAGCCTTCCTGGAAGTGGCACCTCCATTGATCTCAGAGGGTGATCAGGTGACAGATAAGGGGAGGAGGTGAGAGGAGGGGAGGAGGGAGAAGGGCCACAGGGAGCAGGTGAAAGAGAGATGCAATGCAGTGACAGGTGGCACCTGCAGCTGCCCAGGGAGGCCAGTGACTTTCCAACAGCTGACCCCACCCTCCTCTTTCTCACAGCAAATTCTGACTGTGTGGGCAGTGGCCACCCAGCCCAGGTGAGCACCAGGAGGGGAAAAGCCATAGTGATGTCAAAAAGAAAGCCAGGCCTCCTGTGGCAGAGCTGCACCTGAAGGAACCTGCCTCTGGAGAGGCGGAACTTGGACAGGGATTGCCACATACAGCGCAGCACTGACCGAGTGAGGGGGACACAGAGAGAGAGGACCTTCGCCCTCCTTTATGGGGCCGGGAGCTCATATGGCCAGCACCTGGACTCCCTCTTCCTGAGTGACTCACACTTGTTACTCTCCCAGCATTCCCATTCTGTTCCTTGTCGATGGTGAAGAGCTACCAGTTCTTTTGTAATCAGGAAACTCTTGGCATCCTAGCTATCTGCCCTTCTTTTCAAAATGATTAACTACTAGAGAAAAATTTAATTTCTTTCTTATTGAAAATTGCCTTGGAATAACTTCAGACTTGTAACATCATGTTAGCATTCCTGCAGATCTGACAATATTGTCGCTTGTTATCTTACCACTGTGAAGTCAGGGTAGAAAATACATCATCTCTTTCAGATTCCTGGAATAACTTCAGAAGTTCTGGATCCCCAGATAAATGTGCAAGAATGCGCAATTCAATCTGTGAAAAGTCTGTAAGACAGCTCAGTGTTAATGCCGAACTCACCAGCGTGCCCCACTGTTGCTCTCCTGCAGCCCACCCTTAGGCGCCCTCCCCTCCCCGGTGCTGGCCTCCTCTAGCCTCTGCACTGGCCATTCATAGGTCCAAAGATCTCTTTTGCGTCCTGACCAACAACACCTCCTGGGTGGGTGGTGTTCATTGATTTGTTCATTCATTCACTCTACACATCACAACTTTAGGAATTCTAGGTGCCAGGCTCTGTGCATGGGATGCATTATTGAACAAAAGACAATTCTCTTTCCTCATGGAACTTAAATTCTGGAAGGGGGAGGCAGAGAATTTGAATAAATTATTTGGGAAGGCCAGTGAGTGAGCAAGGGGAGGAAACAGTGATGAGGGCCAGGGAGGAGAGAGACAGACCAAGTGGGCTGGGGAAGGATGTGTAGGATCTAAATGTGGCACAGTGATGGGACCTGAGAGCCAGAGACCTGCTATAGTGTACTGTGCATAAGAAACCTTTGTTTTATATAAATATTTGCCTTAGGGTTTATTTGAGAGAATGAGTTCTACAAGTACCTTTGAATTATTCTGCTTGTAAATATTTGAGTTGCATGAGAAGGCCCAGCAGTGAGCCACAGGGACTGGTGGCACCCTCCTCTGCCGCTTGCACATACCTGCTGCCAGGAAGGTGTGGCCTTGGGAGGAGACAAACAGGGCTCTTGGGGAGATAGTGAGAGCCTTGTCTTCTTCACCTGCATGGTCATGCAAGAGCAGGTGGTGAGTGCAGTCATGAGCGGGCTCGCAGCTGTTCCTCAGTACAGAGTTATTTTAATGTCATCCAAAATCAAGTCTAGACTTTTTTGTGATTTCTACTAAGGTAATTTAAAAATAATATTATTAAAATCTAATGAGATTTTTCTGCTCTTAAAACTTTCCGTTCTGTCTAGAATTCTTGACCAAGAAAGGAAAGAGGCAAATATTAATACCCAAATACTTCCGTGAAAGCCTTGCTGATTAGCCCCATGCAGGGCGCGCAGCTATGCCCTTCCTGCTGGCAATCATGAAGGGTCAGGAGGAGACAGAGTGGTTGTGGTCACCTTCCCTGGCTGTTGGAGGTGCCCATTGTGTGTAGAAAAGGCCACTCATGGTGCCTTGGGGTGCTGCTATGCCCTCCCACCCAGCCCCTGAGGGCAGGGGGAGCACTGGCCCCAACACAGATGGTTATGGGGAGTGGGTGACACGGCACTGCTTGAAAGAATGTTGGTGTGCTTTTATAAACACTTTCAGCAATTTTCAGACTTTAATAAAAGCCAGTGGTATTGCATATTTGTTTTGTCTTTATTGGGAAGTTGGTGGGGGAGAGATGGTAGGAGGGGATCTACTTCCCTGGTATAATTATTGTCTATTTTAACTTGTAAACTCCTGAAAGGGATGTACCATATCACTTCAGCTGTTTTTATTTTTTCAATGTATATTTAAATCCTAGTCATGCGAATAAAGAGAATAACTTCAGGAAAGTGAAGCGGTTGCATAGAAAAGGCAGTTATAAACATTTCTAGGTTTTATAAAAGATGTGACCTGAGATTTTATCAAAGTAGAAAGAAATGAGTTACCTTTAAATATCGGAGGTGTAGTAATTTGAATTGGTTGCTTGGAGATACCTTGGATATTCTGTTATTATTAAGAAGAGACTAGCTTTAGTTGAAATATCTACTCTTAAATTAATCTGTACCATGTGAAGGTATTGAAATGCATAATATTATACTAAACATAAACAAAATAAGTAATGTCAATGAATCATGCATGCACATATTAACATTTAATGCAACTAATATCGAAACATAATTTTGCTGGGGATGCCAGTAAGTACAATCAGCAAATTCGAGAGCAGTTCTGAGTCTAGCCATGTGTAATTACACACAGTAACTCTCTAGGCAGCCCAAATCATGAGGTGGTTAACTTAATTTTTCCTATGTAATATGATAAAGGTGGACCTCTGTGAAATGTGTGCATTGTCATTAGTTTAAGGTTGTGTTTTAAGATGAGATTTTTGGCCTCTGCCCCGAGTGCCCTCCCCCTGCTCCTGGTGCCAGGTGTCTTCCTGTGACTGGTGGAGGATGTGGCTGCATGCCTTACAAACCCTTCAGGGCTGTTTTTGGTTTTTGGGGTTTTTTTGGTACCGGAGATCGAACTTGGGTCCTTGAGCTTGCGCAGCAGGCAGCACAACCACTGAGCTAAATCCCCAGCCCTCGGGGCTGTTTTTAAAGCCTCTTTGCTCTACATCTTTACAACTTCAGGTAATGAGCAACAGCCATGTTCTTGCCTATTTCCACTGGTCACATCCTGAGACTTTCTACTGTCATATCCCCTGATCGTTGGTGGTGACTTCCTGACTGGGTCTGGCTAATTCTCCTCTCAAGCTGTCTTAGGGATGATGTTCTGTAGGTCCCTTAGCAGGTCCGGGAGGTGGCAAAATAGGCAGTTTCTCCTTATTTTTTAAGGTGAGGACACTGAAGGCTGAAGGTGTTGAGTCAGCAGCTCTCAAGTGTTCTGTGCCTTAGAATCACATGATACTTTTAAAACTTCCAAAACAGTCACAGGATAAACCTGGTAATAGAGATGACAGAAAAAAACGCCAGCGAACTTGAGAGTAGATCAAGAGAAACTGCCTAATCAAAAGGAGGGGAAAATACTGAAAAAACTGAACAGAGCTTCAGGGACCTGGAGGATAATATCAAAAGTACAATATCAGTTTATGTTATTTTATCCCCTGAAGGTAAAAAATTAAAAAAAATTATGACTAGAATTTCCCCAAATTTAGTGAAAGACAATTTTTCTAGTTCAAGAAGATGAGCAGCCCTAAGTATGATAGGATAAAAGAAAACTAGGCCCAGAAATATCTTAATCAAACTGCTGAAAAACAAAAATTTAAAAACATGTTGAAAGCAGTCAGAGCAGAATGCTACATTTCACACAGAGGAAGAACAATCTCTCTGACTGCAGATTTCCCCTTGGAGCCAAGCACACAGAGGAGGAAGTGGAATCACACCTCAAAGGCCGGAGGAAAAGATGTGTCAGCCCAGAACTCCAGCAAATACAAATTCCAGGAATGAAGGCAAATTAAAGACTTTCTCAGATAAAATGAAGAGAATCTGTCTTCAGTAGTCCTACGCTAAAAGAAATGCTACAGGAAGTTCTTTAGGCCAAAAGAAAATGTTTCCTAAGGAAACCTAGAAGTTCAGGAATGAAGGATGGACAACAGAAATGGCCAAGATCTGGATAAATAAATATGAGGTGTGATAAAAAATATATTTATATGCCAGGCGTGATGACACACAACTGTAATTCCAGCATGTGGGAGGCTGAGGCAGGAGGATTGCTACCAGTTTGAGGTCAGCCTGGGCTACATAGTGAGTTAAAGGGCAGTCTGAACCTCATAGTGAAAGCCTGTCTCAAAAGACAAAAAACAAAACAAAACAAAACAAAATATATATATTGTGAATGTTTACTTTTAAAAAAATTTATTACAGTAAAAGACATGTTGTCATCAATCCCCTTCAAAATACTTTCCCTCACTTCAAACATACTTATCCCATGGTTCTTGTCACTTTCTGAAGCAGTTTTAGAAGTCTTCACTTGTGTATTTAACCTGTCTTGCCTTGATGTCCTGAATTGATTCAAAATGTTTACCTTTCATATTTCATTTGATTCTGGGGAACAGCCAGAACTTTCATGGTGCCACATCTGGTAAATAAGGTGGCTGAGGACACCTTCCTGTTTTTATTTGACAGAAATTGCCATAAATTTTGTTTTTGGTACCAGGAATCGAACTCAGGACCTTATGCCATAAATTGATCAACAATGTGTGATAAAAATACAATTTTTAAATTAAAAAATTTGTTATAGTAAAAGACACATCATCATTAATCACCCTCCAGATACTCAAAATACTTCCCTTTGCTTTGAACACATTTATCCCATCACTCTTAGCTTTAACTATAATAAGTTTTTTAAAAATTTAAACATTCATCATATCTTTTATTTTTATTTTATTCTATTTTTTATTTTTTGGTACTGGGGATTGAACTTGGCACCTTATGCTTGTGAGGCATTCAGCGGAACCACTGAGCTAAATCCCTGGCCCTCATCATATCTTTTAATCACTTCTTGTATAACAGACTTTCTTCAAATTCTTTTTTTTGGTATCAGGGATCAAACTCAGGACCTTGCACTTGTGAGGCAGGTGCAGTGCCACTGAGCTAAATTCCCAGCCCATCAAATTCTTTAAAATATGTAGCTGTTAGCTGGGCATGGGTGGCATAGGCCTGTAATCCCAGGACTCAGGAGGCTGAGGCAGGGGGACCGCTGCAAGTTCGAGGGCAGCCTGGACTACATAATGAGTTCAAGGCAAGCCTGAGCTACACAGTGAGACCGTCTCAAAAAAAAAAAAGCTGTTGAAAACAAAAATTATAACACTTTTTTACATGTGACAATTTCAGCATAAAGTAAGGGAGGTAAAGGAAGGTAAGAGTTTTGCATCTTTCTTGAATTGATAAAATATGAAATCTAAGAATGTCTAAGATTGGATATTACTATAATTTATATAGTAGTCACTAAAAATATTATACAAAGAAACATTCCCAAATCATTATGTGAATTAAAATTAAAATTAAATTCTAAAATTTATTCAATAATTTAAAGGAAGACAGGAAAAGGAACAGGAGAATGCAGCTCTACACAGAAAAGGGAATATTTCCTAATACATTTTATAGACCAGTTAGAATACTGATAGCAAAACTGGAAAAAGATATTACAAGAAAAGAAGACTATAGAGCAATATTCCTTGTTAAAATGGACAAAAATCCTAAAAAAATATTATATGTAGCTGAATATCTATCTATTCATCTATCTATCTGAATTTCATTTGCATAGAGAGAGAGAGGGGAGAAGAAGAAGAGGAGGAGGGAGAGAGATAAGGAAAGACAGAGAAGAGAATGCATCATGATGATGTGGGGTTAGTCCCCCCAAATCCCAGGCTTGGTTGGTTCAACATCAGAAAATCTATCAATATCACTAAATTAAAGAAGAAAAAAAAAATCACATGATCATGATGAAATTAAATATCCATTGATAATTGTTAAAAAAGGAAACCCTCTTAACAGGATAAAGGGAATTTATGAAAAAATTCAAAGCTAACATCATCCTTAATAGTGAAAGAGTCAATGTTTTGCCCTTAAAATCAGAAAAAAGGCAGTTTGATCCCCGGTACAAAAAAAAAAAAAAAAAAATCAGGGGCCGGGGATTTAGCTCAGGGGTTTTGCCACCTGCTGTGCGAGCGCAAGGACTAGAGTTCGATCCCTGGTACAAAAAATACATATATATATCAGAAAAAAGGCAAGGATGTCTGTTCCCAACACATATTCATTATTGTATGGGAAGTCCTAGCCCCCATAATAAGGCAGGAAAAAGAAATATAAAGCATGCTGTAGAAAAGACATAAAAAAGTCATTGGTCACTGAAGACATGATTATCTAGGTAGAAGATCCATGGAAAGTACAAAAAAGCTTCTTAGGACAAATAACTGAGTTCACCAAGGCCCTACAATGTGGTCAATATACAAAATTAATTACACCTACATATTATCAATGACTGATTGGACACTGAAATTAAATAAAACAATTATAAGCATTTAATACTTAAAATATTTAGGTATAAATCTGTATGCTGAAAATTGCTTGTTATATCATTAGGTACTTGTGTATATTTATTTTATGTTTTGGATTACAATTCATGCTCCTTGTGTTAATCAGATTATTCCTGCTCTAGCCACCACTGAGATCTCTTTCAGTTGGCTTCTGTGTCCCTTTAACACAATCTACCCCCCTCCTAAGCATTTTCTTATTTTCTGGCACTATGTGATGTCCTGGGCTCATCTTGTATATTTTCTGCCCTAGCCATTTCTTCAAATCTGGATTTAACTTTATTAGAATGTGGTATCAGTTCTGGGTCTGAGTGCGCTCTTTGCTACGGGCAGTCATGGGAGGCTCTCCACTGACAGAGTAAGGAGATACATGTGTATGTACCAACCTGTGTACCTACTGCACAGGCACAGTGGTATCTGCATGTGAAGCTGTACTCCTGAGGAAAGCAAACTCATCAACTACAATACAGTGATTACATTCAGTTCCTTCCATCTTTGGTCTTCAAGACTCTCTCCATTTTGGGTCATTCCCCCAACTTTCCCTGGTGAGGTTGTTTCACATTTTTGATATGGTTAGATTGAAATATCACATTCTGCATTCCATCCAGAAATCCCCCAGTCTCATAAATGATCTTTTTAATGATCTTGCATTCATTAAGGTTCACTCTTGGTGTTGTATATACTATGGGCTTTAACAAATGTGCAGTGGCAACTACCCACAATGTAGTGTCATACGAAACAGTTTCACCTTGCTAAAAAACTCCCAGCTTTATCTATTCAGCTTCACCTCCCAATCCTGGCCCTGAGCTTCTGGCAACCACTCATCTCTTTACTGTATCTGTTGTTTTGCCTTTTCTGGAATGTCAGGTAATTTGGAATCATATGGTATACAGACTTTCCAGATTGGCTTAACTTGGCAATTTAAATTCACTCTGAATTTAAGATTAATCTATGTCTTTTATGGCTTCCT